GTCTTTTCCACCCTAGATGATTCTATGATTCTATGATTCTAAGAAGTTATTACAAATCAGCCTATTAACTTACAATACAACAGCAGTTAGCGATAATTTTGGGGTAGCAGAAGTTTATTTTATTCTGCGGGGCTTTTTCCCTTTACAGAAACAAGGAAACAGATAAAAAAAAAGAAAGCAATTTCATCAACAGAGATCAGACCACTTTCTTAGGGTTACTGTTAGTGGTTTGGAGAAGGATTTTCTGGCTGTAGCCTTTTCTTCCCATATATTCATAAAAGCTAAGAAAAGCTAGATATGGTTTGGGAGACAGTGACTCACACCAAAGTGCCTTTGAAAAATAGAAGTAAAATGCCGTTTGCAGTTCTGAACTGGAAGAGTATGTATTTGTTCTCTGAGTGGTTAGATTAGAGGCTTTGTGTGAAGTCCAGCAAGATAGCTTACAAAATCAACAAGATAAATTTAAACCTGAGGTTGAGAATACTGGCGCCTTTCCACTGGTTTTGGCTAAAGGAAATGCTCAATTATGCCAAAAAAAAGAAATTTTAGAAAAGAAGCAGTCTTCTGGGTAATGGAGAAAACATCCAAGCTACTCTGACTTGCAAGACCAGAGGGACATTAGCTATTACAACTCAGCTATCTTTCCTCTGGTTCATGATACCTGTGCCAAAACAGGTACACATCGGAATAGTGATTTGCACCATTTGAAAAGCAAATTTCCAGAAGGCTGGATTTTATGCGGGCAGAAAAGACTCCATGTGCCTAGGTGCCATTACCAAAAATACAGTTTCTTGTTATACTGAATTTTCTTCACAGTGCCTGAAGAGCAGCAAGCACGATGGGCCCCCTCCCTTGCAATCCTTGCACTGAGCACCATGGGAATTTGTGACCCAGCCCTAAATAAGGGCTATTATGACAAATCTTATCGTTATCACTGCCACCACTGTTGAATGGTTAGCCTTTTGAATATCCTACGTTGATTTGCATGAGGTCCCAGTAGAATAAGTAAGGACATTTAGGGCTGTAGCTGCTACACCTTTGCGGTTTCCTCATGCTTGGGGATTTCTGCAGCAGTGTCACTTAGACGGAACGGTAACATGCCACTGCCTGCACAAGACAGACCTGCTGCTGCCCAGGGCAAGCACTAGTGTGAGCCCCAGAAGCATTCTGACATACAGCATTTAGCCCGCTCAACATACTCTCCCGGTGCTCCATAAAGCAACCACTGCAGGAGGAGGTGTAGGTACAGATTTGAAGAGCTCAAGAATGCTCCTCAGAAAGGATGGGAATGGAAAATGTTCACATTTTATCCTCTTTGGTCAGTCCTGCTCACAAAAGTGCAGGAGCTGTGATTTATTCCATATCATCTTTCCATATGACTGACTGTACTACTGTTCTCATCGTATGCTGGAGTGGAGGCTTTTCTGTAACTTTGTTGTAAGAGGGATTGTTTGGACACTCATCATCAGATCCTCTGCATTGCTTTATTACCATCTGAGCACTTTCACCCTTTTGCAATATCCACTTTATTTTAGAGTTCTGTTTAGGTGAATTAGGAAAGGCAGCCACCACCCATCCCCGTGAGCACAAGGCGACTGAACAAGCTCTACACAGAGCAACTCATGAAAGCCATCAGTATTGTGCCCAACAGGCTCATAATGTCACACCACGATGTTCAGCACAGAAGAGTTGCTTTTGAAAAATTTGGAAAGTTTGAGGGAAGTTTAGCTGTGGCTGCTTCATTGTTTACTCTAGACTTGAGATGACTTGGTAATTGCAATGGTGCAATGGGGAAGAGTTAAAACGGGTTTTAGAGTATGAATTGGTAAACTTGAAAGTATTCTCTTCAGCTTATGGGCTATCTACAATACATATGGCAGAGGCCTTATTTTTGTCATATTTACAGCAGTATCAAACAAAAGCAAGCCACTAAGATCAAAAGGTTTATATTTGGAATCTAAGGGTTATTCCTCTCTTCCTATTCTTCTGACCAGGTGTTTTAAGTGAACATGGAATATCAGTTTTTATGAAATTTTAATAATTTCTGAGTTATATCATCCACTTCACTGCACTTCCAATTTTAATCTGCTGTCATCCAAAGCTTAAGCCTGAAGAGTGTTATAGAACAGGGAAGTTCTCATGCAGTCAGCACACACAGATGCACTAATATTTTCATTACTTCTTTAGGAATATTAAAAAGAGTTTTACTTTTCTTATTAGTGTTGCTGTCTTTTTGTGTGTGTTTTGCCAATGAAATTTTGCTAGAGCTTTTGTCACTGATCTTAAAGGAAGCATGAGACTATGCAAAAAAAAAAAAATTAAATAACCAATCCTAAATGTACATTCATAAAGAAGACACTGTCCTTAGAGTGTCCCAGCGGCTGTGGATCTAAAGCTGATCCTAGGATTTGCTACCTTTTTCCCTGCTCACTCAAGGTTAGGCTTCATCCCTCTGTAAACTGCCCAGTGGTGTTATTGTTGGATCTGTAACTAATGATACCATGCAACTGCACAGGTCTCCTGGACACAGGAGGTGCCATTATATGACATGGACAGTATAAACCTGCAATTATTGCTGCTTGGCTTTATAATAAAGTGTCCTTTATGAACAGATGTTTTGGGCCAATGATTCATACGAAAGTGCTAGGATTTTGGATGGATTTTTATTATTGATTGGTCTTTGTGAATTGCATCTTGTCATATCTTACCTCTCATTCTGCTCCATAATGCACCAGAATCATATGGGTTACGCTGTGACACGGATGTCATAGCTAACTGCCCTGGACCTTTGGCCCACAATAACAGGGCAAACACACCTGAACAGGCTTCACTTACACAGCTATAGGTCATGTCAGGTAAAAAGAGACACCAGTCCCAGAAGGCAGAGTGCACATCTGCACAAAGCTTAAAGAACTGTAAAAGCAAGAACATTCCCCTTTGTTTTTACCACCTTTTAGAGAGGAAATCCTTCCACTCACCCATTTCCTTGTCTTCCTGGACCCTTTTCCTCTCACTTTTGCATGCCTCCATCCATCTCTTTTTATCCCCCTGTTTTTTTGCACAGAACAAATGAATCTCTTCTGTTGCTCTGTTTATTATCTTAAAAGCATTCTTGACATTAACGTTAAAGTCTTTGTCTCTGCCATCTTCAGTGTCCACAATTTCCATCTCATCCATGTCAATACGATCCTTATAATACAAGATGTCCCTTCTCAGTAAGTCCTTCTTACAGAACACAAGCTGATGGTCAAAAAGGAAGAAAGTCCTCTGCTGGCTTTTGCCTTGCTTTGATATTTTGGTCAGTTCTCCTGAGTGGATCAGTTCTGAGCTTCTGGCTAACACATCCGGTCCCTAAGAAAAAAAAAAAAAAAATATATGTGGTAAGTAAGTAATATTTTAAGATCTTACTGAGCCTAACCAGTCTCATTTTATAATCAAGTCTTAAGTTAATTAATTTTTCCTGTATTTTTATTATTAGATTTGAAAATGTCATAGAATGTAGATAATGTCATACAGGAAAACTCAATGAATGTGGTTCTGCTCTACTTTATTTCTGCATAGATGAGGAGGAAACTCATTAAAGTCAGTGAAGCAGGTTCAAGTTCTGAAAGAACTACCAAAAATCCAAAGGAGATTCTATAGGTCTAGCATTTAAAAGAAATCCATTTTGTCATCTCAATCCAGTGTCATCTCAAAGACAAGTATCCATGTTAATACATGCTGCTCTTCCTGATTTATAAACAAAGTAATCAGTAACAGAATCACTGCAAATGAAGCAGCTGGACTTTTAACTGAGCAGTGACCAGTTGAAAAGTAGACACCATAAACTACCTACTATGCAGAAAGACATATCCTGTAGAGGACATGAAGTACTGTACACGGTACTTTTGCTCAGGAAAGGGACAGGCTGACACTTACCTCCCAGTCTACAATAGAGACCTGCCAACGTGCAATCTTGTCTATGCTTTCTAGTCTTCGTTTTCGCTCATTGATCAGGCACGCTACGTTCTTCATAGCCTCATATGCAGCTTTTATGTTGTTATAATCACTGTGAAATGTAGGCACGTTTCAAAGATCACTTACGAGGTGGATATGATGCAATCACAAACTGTGACACAGTGCTTTAAGTATTAGCCCACATTACCCATTTATCCCTCTACTCAGGGTACTTAAATAAAAGAACCCTGATTCTCAGCTATCCTGAACCTCACATAGTAGTCTGTACAATTCGGTGCTACTGTACTGCTAGGCTTTGTCCAGGAGCAAGTTATTAAACTGGTGGAAGGAGGCAGAGGAGGTAGATTAATGAACTGAAAAACTCTGTCTACTGAAAACAATGGCAGAACTCCCATTGACCTCAGTGATACCTACACTTCACCAAAGGAATTTGTTTTTAAGCAAGACTTTAGTGGGATTGTATTGGGAAGGGCATTCCTTTAATAGTGTTTAACAACTGTATTTTCTCCTTCTTGTTCCCAGTGGCTGGGTCAATGAACACAAATGGCAAACACTACGTGAGCAGAAAAAATACCAAAAGCAACCTCAAACAGGGAGAGCGAGGGACCCAAGAACATGGGCACCAAAGAGAGGAATTAAGGCGATAATGCTGACGAAGTGGCCTGTTTTCATGCAACAAGTGTGTGAGAGCCAAGACGGTCACCTTCCCTTGCCTCCTCCAGGTCAAATGCAAGCCTCCCGTCCTCCCATTACTCTGCTCCCCTCCTTCTTTCCCTGAGCTCCCCACATGCTTATGAATTTCCTCAACCTGTAGTTACGTTTTCATTCCCCTTTGAATAGCATCCATCACTCCTTCACCTTCCTCAAATGGAGTCTCGGAGAGAAGAGACGAGACTTATTTCTTGCCTTAGAGTCCCAGCAGAGCAGCTGCCTTCCCTCCTTTATCAGAACGCCTCTTGCAGAAAAGGGAGCCAGAGGTAGAAAACAGCACAAGCCAGAAATAAATCCTGCAAAGGGGTCAGCCTCGCTGTCCTTTTTATCTGCTTTTGTCTCAGTTCCTTTTTTCATCGGCTGCTGCTGATGGATGCGCTTCCCTTCTAAATCTGCGTGTTACTCTATTTGTATCTATGGAAACTCTTTTATGCCACACTGTATGCAAAAAGTAAGATTAACAGGATCCTACTAACGTCAGGGACATGCCCCACAGGGTGACCGCATGATATCCACGCTGCTACTTGCCCTTCCTTATCTCAGTTCCTTCTTTATCTCTTGGTGTGTGTGTTATTCCACACTTGCTGCATAACCTGTGGCCTTCACAGCTGGCTGTGCACATCGGATCTTCAAACTTTTTATGAAAACAAAACAAAAAGCTACCAAAAAACCCAGTTGGCTGGAGCTTTACCAGGGCTCCGTGTGGGTGTAGGCCTGCCTGTGCTTGTAGGCATCTCTGGATGCTGTGCCACAGAAAAGGAAAACAAGCTCTGTGGGTGGAAGGTGGCGAGACATTCCTGTCACTTCATCTGCAGGTTTCATAGCTCACAGAATAATCTCTCTAAAATTAGTAGCAGTGAAAGAGATACCCATGTTAGTAATTGTTATTGCAGGACTTCCCAGGTAGCCACAGAACTGAATGGAGCCATTTCACACCTGAATGTCAGTATTTCACATCCCCTCCTGGAAAAAATCCCGTGATTTCCAAGTGGAGTTTTCTCAAGGTTATAGTGCAGACTTTGGCCAAGGAAGCATTGCCTCAGGCTGCATTTGGACTTTGAGCACAGGGGTCACAATGGAACATTTTTCTTGCAGTTGTACAAGGTAAAAAGGCAGACATTTAAAGATAAAATCTTAATTTAGTGAAAGATTTAATCATCTCAGGGGTATACTAGTAAAAGCTAATAACCTGCAACTTCAATTCTTATTTATCCCACCTGAAAATCTAATATCTGGACATTACTGCAAACAAAGGCAATATTTATTACTAATAAGTTTCTAAAAAACATTACCTCTGAACTTGCTCCGATTGTGTTTTTTTCTAAGGCCCTCTTTACCTTTTCTTGTGTCCACAACATTTATGCAGCTTCCCTCTTTCTTCTGTGGATTTCCTTCTCCTTCCTTTTTTTTGACACACTGGCTTTTTTTCACTCAGACTTACACATCCCTCCCTGCATTCTATTTCAGCACCTTCTTCCTTTCCTTCTCCCTCTTTCACTTATTCCTCATTCTGTCTTGCATCCTGTCAGTCCCCTGTGCTGCATTTCCAGACACTGTTTTTGTTAATATTTGTGATGGTTCCAAGATGCCCATCTAGCAAGGAGCTCCTGTCTATACTGGTCAATGGGAGTTTTGTTCCTGATCTTAAAAGCCTCAGTGTTGTGTCACCCAGAAAGTTTGAGTAATTCGGTGTTATTACTGTTATAAGATTTGTTTTTTTCATTCTCTCACCTGTGCTCCTGAGTGGTGTATTTGAGCAATTCTGCAAGCTGCAGAGGGTATTTGCAGATTTTCTGAACGGGCGTGAGAAGAAAACCATCAATGGCAATGTCAATCATCTGCTGAAGCAAGCGGCAGGCCTCAAAGAAGTGACGGTATTTGCTCTGTTTCATTAGTTTGGCAAGTTCAATGCAGGCACTGGGATGATTGTTACAATACTCTGAATAAATAGCAAAGCCTTCTTGCTATTAAAAAAAAAAAAAAGTCAAAGCTTTGACTAAAGTATTTGTCTATAAAAGGGGAATTATACATATACTTTAATATATAATTAATTAA